ACTTCTCCGTCGCTTCTGCGCTCAGTGAGACAGTCACCGCGACTGCCGATGCCCTCAGTTGGGCTCATAGCGTCGGCGTGCCGTGGTATGTGGCCATACCACTACTTGCCGTAGGCGTCAACGCAACCATCCGATTCCCTCTTCAACTATACAGCGCCCGTTTGCGGGAGGCTAGAAAACCATTGGATCCTCTTATCACAGCTTGGGCTCGTCGGCATATGATGGATAGGAGCTTAAAAAATCCTGAACTTCCCGATCGTGTGAGATCACTTCGCATTGCAGGTGCAGTTGAAAAGTCAAGACGGAGAATATTAAAGACATGGGGTCTCCAGCGCTGGAAGGGTATGGCACCGTTACTCGGAATGGTTCCCTTTGTCACCATATCCGAGGCTCTACGAAGGAAATGCGGTGCACCCCTGGGTTGGATCAGTCACAAGATTGGCCTGGGCAATACTGGTCTCGGGCCCTCGAGCAGCATGTTTGACCAGTCCTTGGTGGACGGAGGCTTATTCTGGTTCACCGATCTAGCATCCGCGGATCCTTATTATGGACTTCCTATCATCTGTTCGGGTATTCTGGTCTGGAGTATATGGGCGAGGATGCCCAAGGAACAAATCCAGGCACTATTGCGGATACAGCCCTCAGACTCAAAGATGATGGTCACCTCTAGGCTACAACAACTTCTGGGCCGTGTCATGCTTATGATGCCTCTACTACCACTCCTCTTTGCCGATTTACCAAGCGCTATCTTCCTTTACTGGGGTACATCATTTGCGCTTACCCGCGTCAACGACTTCTTTATTCAACGTCTTGTTCCACCAAAGACGCCAGATTTGAGGGCACCTCAGCCGTCGAAAGAATTCCCTTTCGTGCTCAAAGACCAATCACGGATTGCAAAGACATCTGACGAAAAGAACAATTGATTAAGCGTGCATATGTAACTATCAATGTAGACTCGTGGGGAAAATTCGATTTATAGGCACCTAGAAAACTCCGATAGACGCCTCAAGAACAAAAATAGGCCACCCGTAATCGTCAAACGCTGCGCTCACGGAATCTAGTCAAGGACAATAGCCAGAATAACAATGGTCAAAATAACGGCGAGGATCAGCAACAGGCAGCAGCTCTTGTTGCGGGCTGCCTTCTGATAACGCGCGGCCTGTCGGTTCTCAACATCAGCTTGCCGCGTGTCGTCCCGGACGTTCTCAACATTGTCGGCGATCGTCCCAAGCTGCTCTCCCTGCTCATTGACGATTTGCGCCACTTGTCGGAAAAGGACGTTCAAGTCGCCTACACCCTGCTCAATGTTGCGGATCTCCTCCTCGCGCTCGATGATGAGAGCTTCCTGGAAGTCGACCTCGTCTTGGGGTGCGAGCTGCGAGACTTGTTCTTGCTGCTGTAGTTGCTCAAGCTGGTTGCCGGACTGGGGACCTTCGGCGGAATCGCCCTCTTGGGCGGCACGGGCGGCGGTAACGGATGCGCGCTCCTTCTCGAGGGCTTTTCGCTGGAGGCTTTGGAATTCCTGGAGAGCTGCTTGGAAATCGCTCGAGACCTTTGTTTGCTCGTACTTTTGTTGTTTCTAGGCATATAATTAGTATGCGACAAATCGAATTCGAGGCGTATTTCGTACCGTCAATTCTTCCCAAGTCTGAAGGCGCTTAACGCCCTCGCCGATCTCTCTGCACATATCCCTCGTCTTATCCATGCTATTGTGTACTCGCTCCCGCAGGCGCGGGGTATCCTTACGAGTGCCGAGCACATTAACATCGTTGGCGAGTTTTCGATTGCTGCTGAGGAGGTTTTGAAGCTTGCTCTTGAGGTCGTATTGAAGTTCCTGGAAAGCAGGGTCATCGCTATAGCCGGCGCCGCCACGCCCGGATTCTAGATCGTACGACATGGTTGTTGTGATGGTGTAAGGTCGAAATCAAGAGTTGCGTGAATGGAGGCCGGGCCTTGACTATGGACTTCAGCCGGAAAGGTGGGCCCCGTCCTAGACTAGACTGAGACGCATGTCCAATTACGTATGTTTGCATGGCGCTGTAACTGCTAATGAAACCTCAGCCACCTTCTGACTTTCTAGAACAGGGCAGCAGAACAAGAAAGCTTCACAAGAAGTTATCAAAGTGAAGTCGGTATAAAGTCCCCTAAGACTAGACTGAGCTACCTAAGTATTTTTATTTTTTAGGATGAAAGTCCTAATCTCTTTTTTTAATCTTCTCAGGTCCTCTGTATTTCGACCAGCCTTAAGTTGTCTTGGCGGTCTTGACGCTATCAGCACGTGACCGATAATGACGGAGCTTGGACCTTAGCGTTTCTGCGAGCGACTCGTTGCTGCTTGGAGATTTTTATTATTTACTTGGGGCTTGAGCTTAGAGCTTCCATTGTTACCTTAGTCTCTCTTTGAATCAACCCACGACATCATCGCCCAACAACGTCTCGAGCTCTTCTTTATCCCTGGGATGCGCTGTCAAGATGGCGCCTACCACGGTTAGAAAAGCACCTTACAAGGACTTCCTGCAGCCTGCCCTCCACAGACGATTCACTTCTACGGCGACTGTTTTGCTGCTTGTGTCCTACTTGCTGGCGGTCGTCCTTGACGGTTGGAAATCTTGTGAGTCGAATTCATTTGACCTTTCATTGGCGCCGACACTAAATCCTATCTTTTAGACTTTTGGTCTTGGTTTCCAATTGGCCCTGTTGGCATACGAACCGCCTTCATCTTCACATGTGGCCTTGCGATCGTCGTTCTCCGAATAGCAAACTACCACGTTGGCCTACGAACCACTGGCCCCGGCTTCCAGACCCTTCGCAACACCATCACTCAGCTTCAAACATACGAGACTTTGTTTTGGTATGGCTTCTCCAGCCTGTTATTTAGCCATGTGTTCCTTTGGGCAATGCCCAAGGCGGCAAACCTCTCTTGGATCACGTACTTCAGCGGTGACCGTGCGAGACTGAACGAGAGGCCGCTCTTCTTGCTTGCGTACATGGTCTCATGTGCCATCACGCAAACCTTGAACCATTACCGAAAGGACACCGATCGTCTGGTCCTCGCATCCTCAAAGGGCAAGAACGAGAAGCAGCCTGACGCGTTGAAGCTGCTGATTACTGCAGTGCCAGCAACATTTGGCGCTTCTCTTTCCGGCGCTGCAAGTGCGCTGCCTGTCGCCTTGATTCTATACTACGCTATACTGCGATCTGTCATCTGGGGATGGGCGCTTATGTTCTTGCGCATCTTCTATAACCTGCCAAAGACCAACATGCTCCCGCCTAGTTGGCCGAGTGATCTTTGGCTTCTTTTCCGATGCATAGAGGCTGGAACTTTCGTGCATTTGATATGGAATATTGGTAACTTTGCTTTCTCGAAATTCATGGTCAAGGAGCCCCTGAAGAACAGCAAGCCTCTTACCTCTGAGTCCAAGGACCCCAACGGCAGTCTTTTGAACGGTCTTAAGAGCAAGAAACTCTCTATCAAGGTGAGATTTGTCACAGGCGCGTGCTTTACTGTCATTCCTAATCGTATCTAGGCATTCGCGATGTGGGAGCTTGCTATCATTGCGCAAGGCTTTGAGACCCGTCGACAGGCTATCTACGAAGACATCGATCGCAAGGATGGACCTATGTGGTCCCAGGTTTACGCCATTTGTATGGAAGTGGTCAAATCCATCGAGACGCGAATTGATACTTACGGCAAGGCTACTGATGCACCACCCGCTGCGCCGGCCCCGGAACCTAAGCAGCGAGTGTCTGCCCCTCTTCGCGACGATCCCATCTTTAACAGTCGAGGGGCTTCCAAGACGATGCTAAGTGAGGTTGAGAAGCGATTGGGACAGGTCGCACGATCCCCTGGCGAGTCTCCTGTGTCCAAGTTGAGCCCTATCGCGAAGAAGACGTGGAAAGAGGCCAAGGACCGGGTCCTGACGAAGGAGCAGCAGGAACTTGTTGCTCCCGATCACATAAAGAGCCAGTTTGAACACTGGGCCCTCCAAATGATGGAGGTGGACACTGTGGCAGCCCTGTTCCAGCAAGATTTCCGAACCCAATTTGCTGCTGCTGTGCTGGGTACCCCATACGCTGAGCCTACGCTTTGCATCAATGCGATAAGCGTGCTTCACCATCTCTCAGTGCACAGCTTGGCAGAAGATCAGTTTGGTAACGTGCACAGAGACGTGCCAAGCATCATCCGAACCTTCACATCAGTGATCAAGAAACTGGAGGCCTTCCGCCTGCAATTCCCATTGCACTGGACTGATGTGTCGGGCAAGAGGATCAGCCCTGAGGTGGAAGAAGTTGTGGACGCTCTGAAGACTGCTCTGCAACAAGTGCTGGCCAAATTCGAGCCTTATAGCAGCGACCTTCGACTGACACTGACTGATATTCGCTTGGCCAAGGAGGCTTCTGCGACTGCAAAGAAGTCTGAGATGGCAGAGGTGGCGCCATAGGTTACAGGATGTAAAACACAGGCATATCGGATAGGATCTTAATGTATTATGATACCATTGTAACAATTTGGAACACGAGAAAAGCAATTGAGCCATTAGTTATCATATCCATGGAGCTCTAATAATAGTACGTACGTAGTATTTATTGCAGGAGCTTCACATGTTGAAGCTTATGCAGTGCAATTAAAGATGGTGGGGCCGCTGTTGTACCGTATCAAAGCACAGTACCCGTGCTCAAAACGTACTGTAGCACCAAGGGTCCTCGCCAACTGCCAACCTCTTTCTGTCCAACTCTGGTTACATCAATCACATCATCACCAAAAAGGTCCGTCTTTTGGACATGCCATTCTCAACCCAACCCCCTCAACAACTACAGTGACACCACTTACTCACTGTAGCATCTTCATTCACTCGTTCAGCTTCTTCTTTAACCTAGTCATGTCCCACTCTTCATCCCTTTTCTTACTATACTCACGTTCCCGGTCATAGCGGCCTCTGGTAGCATCGCATCGCAGCGCATTCGCAACTGCGGCTTTCTTGTGCCCATGGACTAGGAATATGGCGTCTCCCGTTTCTCATCGACGGCTTGTCGCCCACATCGTCTATCGAACTCTCTACCTTCTTCTCTACGTCTGTCTTCTAGGACTGCTAATATCTACCCCTGCCGACGCCATTCATCGCTCGTTCCAAAACCGACAGCTCTACAACATCTGGATCGTCGCCGCCGCCTACGTTCTCGCCATTGTCATCATTTCCTTCGTCTTTATCACCCGTCTATATATCAACAAGACCGATCTTGGGTCGATACCGAAAGGATGGGTACCAATCGAGAAGGGGGATCTTCGCTCGGCTGTCTATAAAGTAATTGCGCTGGGTCTCGGGCGAAGTGCATCGATCGCATACGAATCGCGCCCCAGGCTTCAAACAGACAACGCGCCACCGGATGACGAAACTGTCGAAACAAGGGTTAAGCTGGGTTTTGATGGTCCCAGTGGTCCGGCGGAGGAGTTGGTGGTGGTGATTCCTCGTAAAAAGCCTGTTTGGGGTGATATAGAACATTATGGATGGTCCTCACCCAACGCTCCGGACTTACCGAACCTCGAATACAACGCTGTCTTTTCAGAGCTGCCTAATTTGATCGAGGGCAAGGCTTTGACTCTTGCACCTCCTGACCCGACCTCCGATACGAACCCGCCTTTGCTGGACCCAGACGCTGTAGCTCTTCTGCAGCGAACCGCCAATATGAGCCTTCGCGATTACGTAGTTCATCTGGCTGAGTTGGGGGTCATCGAGATGGATTCTACCACTATCGAATTTCTTTCACACTACGAATACGCACGCTTCTCGAATCGACCAATTTCCAATGCTCAGTTTAAGGAGCTTATGCATCTTTTTGCCGAGATTCTTCGCGCCATGGAACCCCTGGATCCAGATATTCTGGACGAACAAGATGACACGTCTTCACCCTCTACCGATGGCGATGACGATGCTAGATCAAGGCTGAGCACCTCTCGCAGTAATTTGGCTCCCTCAGACGCCAGCATCAGCAGCTCTGCTCGGATACGGCGCCAACCATCCACGAATACCTGGAACGTTTATGAGACTGCTCCTAACAGTGTAAGGAGCGGATTTACAGGGCCAGGGTCTATATCACGAAGACTTAGCAATAATAGTCTTGCTCGAAGTCGGCGTCATTACCCCATGAGCCAACCATCAACCTCCAGCCTTCGATCCAAGTCATCAGCTAGCTCAGGGTCTGTTATTCGACTCGCGACACGGCACGACTCGACAGATCTACCTTACGTTCTCAGCTTGAGAGATACGACGGCTAGCTACTAATGAATTGCTTTGGGGGCGCGGCGATTGGTTGGCTCTTTATGTTTACGAATTTATGACCAAAAGTATTATCACAGTTACAGGATAGAGAATGTGTAATTTCCTAATCTTAGTTAATTCTAGTATATATCTTCTAAACTTGTTATATAAGACAGTAAAATATTCAAGCGCATTTTGCCTTTAATCATAGTATGTTATGTGAATGAGCTCTGAACATCTCATCGGGGACATTGGTACCAGCAGTAGTGATAAGATAAGCATCCGCATTTTTTGTCGCATGTGAAATTATTCTGCCAGAAACTCTCCATCAACCCCAAACGTCACTAATCTTGGTCAGCTGAAGCAACAGCAAAATTACACTCGCGACATTCCTAATTACTTCAAGGGACCTACGTGGTCTCCTGCGGATTACACACACTAGCATTACTACAACTGATCGCGGCAAAAGGCACAATGGCACCTGAACCCCCTCAACCTTTCCCAGTCGCAACAAACCGCGATGCAATCGCAAACACACTCTCGCTCCTCCTCGCCTCGAGGACATCCATAGGAAAATCTATGCCCCTTACTCGAGATCTACCGCGCAAGCAACGCACTGTACCACTCGACAACGATGACGATCTTACCCATGGCGCACGACCAAACGAAGGATTAGGCTATGTTCCTGAGAAGAAAGATGTTCAAAAGTTTGCGAATTCAAAAGAGGAGAGAATGCTAAGAGGTAGATTGAACAGAGATGCCAAGGGCAATCTCAAGAAGAAGGCTGAGGAGAGCGAGAGTGAGGATGATGCTGGACGAAGTGCGCTAGGTAAAAGAAAGAGGCCTCGGAAGGAGAAGGAGGTTGAACCGGAGCCAGAGTCCGAGAATCCGACTGCTCCTGTTACAGTTGGGGATAAGGAGAAGAACGAAAACGGAGGGGAGCCTGAGGTGGATGTGGATGTGAAGGACACTGCAATACATGATGATCCTAGTTTGGGCGATAAGCAGACAGAAAAGAAGCGGAAAAAGAAGAACAAGAAGAAGAAGAAGCAAAAGACAGCACCCGCGGTAGCAGAGTAGAGGCATAAGAACGTTTACATTAGTTTTATATCAAGATACCCATCCAATACAGGCATAAAGACTTGACAACATCATGGTTCAGAAAAGGGAGATATCAAGACCACATTTAACTTGCTAGAATAGTATTGTCTTCTGATGGTATGTATATACATGCACCAACCATGCAACTCCTCCCAAGATACAATTTCCATCTCTTAGGTGTGCCCAAATCTGTTCCCCTTCCTTTCGGCGAGGATGAATGATTTCCATGGGATTAAACAAAATGCCCGCCATGGTATCCTGTTATGCTTTGCGCTCGTAATGAAGAAAGCCTCCGTGACCGTGTTCTAGCCAGCTATCCGATGTCCTCCTATACTCCAAGTAGGCGGTCTCTTCGCCATCAAAATCCAAGTATGTTTATGGCCTAATGTAATGCCGATGAAGGGAAAGTAAGTATCCATGTACAAAGCCCGTGTATGTGTATGTACGTATATGATGTGTTCAAGTTGGTTGTCCAAAGTTAAGTTTGGGTTTCAAAGTCCCACAGTAAAATCAGGGTTAAATGTGTGATTTACTGCATTCGCTTTCGCTTCCTGTCGTCGTCGCCTCGGGGGTCCTCATCCTCATCTGATCGCTCGGCAGTATCACTGGGATTGAGGATATGAGCCATGCTCCCCCTTCGAGTAGGGGGGGCTGAATGATCTTTCACGGCAAGGTTTTTGTTCTCACGGCCAGCAGATCCCCATGACCAGCCACCAAATGTGTCAGAGCCACCGCCGGCGCCATTCGCAAATGGAGGTGGGGGCGTTGTTGGGCGTGAGTGAGGGTGTGTTTGGGACGCAGCTTGCAACGAGTATGTTGAAAATGAGTCTCTGATCCGTTGGTCTTCTGGTGCTACACGGCTAGGCGAAGGGGGCCATGCTCCAGAGAGTGCGCCAGTGCTGAAGGGAGAGGGTGCTGGTTGCCAGCCATGGGCTCGAATATCGGCTGCAGTGTGACGACGGGCCAGACTGCCGGGGCCGGGAACAGTCTCAACATTGGATAGAGGATGAGGAGCAGGAGGCGGCGGAGGCGGTCCTGTGCGTAATGGGGACGACTGCGTAGTACTGCTTCCGCTAATGGAGCCATATGGCCTGCGAGTGCTGCTAGATAGGTTGGAAGGAACTGGTGGCTTATAAAAGTTCTGACCGCGTGCGGGAGGGACGCCTAAAGCAGGGCCTCGTCTCTGGTCGTCCTGGGCAAGCTGTCTGGGTGATACTGGGGCGTTCTCTACATTCGCAAAATACTGTTGCCGGCCGGTATATGGTGCCTCCTGGGGTGGCTCGTCGAGCGTCCGAAGTACTTCAGCCTGCCTTTGCATCTCGCCTTGTAAAATAATGACTAAAGTCAACGTTAGCTATCGTTCGCGTTTTCATACAGGAATACGCACCTTCACGAGAGAGGGGACTCTCGGCCGGAACAAGAGACAGCATATGTCTTGAAAGCTCCTGATTGAAGTGAAGCAGTCGATTCACCGTGTCCATCGCGGCTTGGCTTTTGACATGCATATAATGAGCTGCCTCTTCGCTTCGCTGCAGGCGATTACTCAAGTCGAAGAGCGTATGCTCAATATTGAGCATTCGAGCATCGGCGCTGTCTGGTGGGATAGGCACAGGCTCGGCTGGAGTGCCTGGCTGGGATGCTGCAGGCTTGGTATAGTTGCTCTCGCGGTGCACCAAAGCATGTCGGCTGGCTCGGCGCTTGATCTCACGTAGACCTACTAGGTCACCACGCTTGAAGTTCCCGTTGCCATGCTTGAATTCCCAGAGCGTTGTATCAGGATTTCCAGTGTGAAAAACATCGCGTTCTTTGTGCAAGTTAGCCAATGCGCTTGCTCGCAATTCGTGTATGCTCTATTACTCACCCTTGTGAAAACCGTACATGTTGAGCTGTCTCACGAATGATGAGATGTTGGTATGTTTGAAATATTGACTAGGAGGCATTAGTCGAGTGCAAAGAAGCCAGCTGATGAATGGGTTGGACGCACGAGAGAACTTTTGAGAAGTCGGCCGAGGGCGACATGACGAAGCTTTCAGCGCTCGCAGACCATGAAATTAAGTGTTGGATATTGGGATCTTCCAGCATGCTGTCACTACATTAGCAAGCTATCGTGAGAAGCTTGGCGGCGCGGTCTCACTTGTAGAGCTTGTGGATGAAGGCTGTCTGTACGATTTTGGGCTGGTGTACAGCAGCAGCAGCCGGCGGGGGCGCAGGCATGCTATTGGCATTATTGTTGGCGACATTGTTGGAATCGGGAGCGGGAGAGTTCTTGGGTCGATCGTTGGATTTGCCGTTGGCATCGGAATCGGAGTTGTTGTTGCCAGTAGAGGATGGCGCAGGTGATGTGATCTCCATGGGATCGCCGTTGCTTGGAGGAGACATCTTGATCGTGGGAGTTGGTATAGGAATAATGCGAGCACCCATTGACTCGCTATGGGGAATTGGATTCGAATGTGGGAAGGTCTCAGTCCTGACGGCCATGTGCGCTGTAGCCATGATGATTAGTCGACAAGAAGGGTCATGTATGTACAGACGAGCCGGGATCAGGGTCGACAGTGCTTGCTATCTCTTGAAGAAACGAAAGATGCAAGGAGAAGCGAACAACAAGCGAGGACGGAAGGAAACGGGGTGGTTAAAAGATGGAGTACATAAGTTAGATGTAGGCAAGGAAAGTAAAGTAGGTAGGAGGGTGAGCACAAGGCCGGCGGATGGGGGTGTGAAGGAATGAGGGTGTGTAGCGGCTAAACTTTGAGACGACAACGAAGGAAAGGAAAAGAGTAAGGTGAGGTAAGGTAAGGTAAGGTAAAGCTTTGTAAAGGGAAGAGAACCCGGAGACAGAGACGGTATCGCGGATGCGAGACTGTGGATCACAAGCCGAGAGACAACGGGGGAGGAGGAGATGGAGAGTGGTAGCGGAGTCGGGATCGGTACCGGTCTTGAAAGAGAGATGTATGTACCATACTGTGCATGAGATAGGCAACTTTGCGACGTGATGCGATACAATGCGATCAATGGGCGCGGAATGGACTGTGCAGACACAACAGAATGGAGTCTTTAAAGGCTTACCTCATTCTCAGGGCGCAAAAACGAGTCAGTGGTTGATGTCGCGCAGCGCAGCTCAACTCAGCCCAAGTACTCTGTATGTTCAAGCGCTTCCCGGCGTTGGTAGGCGAAATGCGCAGCGACCTGGGCTTGGAAAAGAGAAAGGTGACAGGAGAACGAACGACAGAATGGGATGTGGTAATAGCCCAGACAAGAACGGCGATTTACAGCTGGGCCCGCCAGGTTCTTCTTGGCCGTTGGTCGAATTAGTTAGACTGGCCAAGACCAAAGGCTCTCAAACCCCAAGCCAAGTGCTTTAGGGAGGTCGGTCACTAAGGTTAGTGTTGGTTTTGGGTGACACCCTGGTTAGGATAGTTGCTGCTGATCAGCCTCGCATAGGGGCCTTTTCAGGGCTCTCGTCCACCTTCTAGAAGGCGGGGGGAGGGAAGGCGAGATTTGTCGCTGAGTCTATCTTGGCACCTCGGCCAGATGATAGGTTGCTCGGACAAAGGGCAAAACCACCGCAGGGACGTCAAGATAGACGAAACACTGGACAGACCCTTGATAGCGTTCGATACAGCTCGGCGATGCCGCGATGATCAAACGTTTTGGCTGCCTTGATGAAGAAGTCTTAGTTAGGTTTGGTTCAACCCTGGAGTCGAAGCTGTCTCGTCTAGTAATGCACAACTGACGAATCGTCAGGGCTGCTGCTAGCGATGACACCTGCGTGGGAACAAGCGGGGAGAGCTCTCAGTTCAGGACAGGGCCGAAAAAAAGATTGGCGAGTGGCGGTCGGAGTAGGTAAAAGGGCTGAGCGCCAGAAAACAGCTTCTGTGCACTGTGAGGAATGTACCTGCTGGTGGGTAGTGAAAGTGGTTGCACGG